GTAAGTTGCATTGAACCCAAGGGGGAGGTTGTGCTTTGTTTGCTGGAACTGTGTGCCTGGTGGACAGGTTAAAAGTAGCTGATCCTAATCTTCATATCAGGAAACTCATGCTCCTTCATTTACTATCGTCTAAGATATGTAGGGTGGTCCTTTGGGCAATTAAACTACTCTAAAAAATAAAGGATATCAGATTCATGATAGGTTTTCTCCTGCAGATGAATTTCATATCCCTTTTTGGGGTTGAATTACCAAACTTTGAGTGATTGGTTTCCACCTAAATAAGTTTAGGATTGCAACCTTTAAAAGGAGTTATACATAGCTTTCTATGACAAGCTTAGAATTCTCTGTTTGACATCCAATAGAGTCCACCAACAGCATTAAATCAATGTAATTGTAGTATTAACAGCAGCAGAATGTTGTGATTTTTATCATAGCATGGGGGCACCAATTGTTATGTGTTGGTATATTTTAAATTATGATATGCACTTTTTAAATCGTTGAGAAGAATCCTTCATCAGCATAGATTACAAGAAGTGACGTCCAAAGTTTGGAATACGAATTGATTCAGCTCATAATGTTTCCATGTATTATGAATGAAACTTAATTTAACCTAAAAAGTATTTTCTGGCCCAGAATTCAAGATGGCATATACTAAAAATTTCATCTAGATTTTGTACAAGTCCAGGATATTATGAGACACCCTTCACTAATTAGAAAATTAATTTATGGCTATTTAAGAAAACACTGACATTGCTCATCATAGCATGCTTTCCATAAAAGTAAGAACAACATCATTTCCCACCTTCCCTTCTTTGTCTCACCTACAATGCAGTCAACTTTAACATATTGCACTCCCTATAGCTTCATCGTTCTTTATTTTGCTCTTTTGTGCATCTGTGAAAAACAATTCTGGCAGAGGGTATCTCTCTTTTAAAGTGTTTTAACACTGCAAGTAATTTGGTCAGAAGCCAAGCAAAGTGGAGAAAAAACACTATAAAAGTGATTGGTTTCATCTTAATTAAAACAGAACAAGGCAAACTACCAGGAAAGAGAAATGTGCAGGGTTAGGTGAAAATCTTGCACAACAATAGAATCTGAGGAATGCAAACAGGCCATGCCAAGACATCCACTATGGTTGACAGTAATACATATTTATCATTGTAGCTTGTAATAATGATTAGGACAAAAAACACATCTGAGTAGCCAGAGCTCACAAGGGGAAATTATGATAGTCAAAAGGACTGGGTAGTAATTAGGAATCACTAGTAAAGGGCAAATAGAAAGTACTTTAAATGCAACCCAATCAGAAAGGCTAAAATATCAGTAATGTGTCTTATGAGTTAGAAGGAAATAAACAAAAATAAAGGTGCTACAGGAAAATGCATTGTGTGATAAGTGCAATATCTGTTCTGTAAAAGTGAATTACTCATCACCCACAGGGTAAGAACTACTGTTTTAATTAGCCGTCTAATTTCTGCTGGTTTTAATTGAACTACTGAAGTCAATTCATTGATTTTAATGGGCACAGATAGCTCCCTTAGCCTTTAAATGATAGCTATAAAATACGATTCAAATAACAGAATAATGTAACTAAGTATTATAAAATGTAAAGGCACCATCTGTAGGGTTGCACATGATGGCAGACTCTGCAAATGTGGCCAACCATAGGTGGAAGACACCATACATTGCTTGCTGATCTGTCCTTTATGTAGGGATCCAAGAGACCGATTCCCAAAACCTTTGCTAACTCTGAGGCTTATTATGGCAGAAGTGGTTCGTTTTGTGTGTGTGACACTAATGAATTTGTGACATATAGAGTGGCGCTTTATGCTCTGGCTGCATGTAAGCACCACGTGGTGGTGGTAGCAGCAGCAGAGCCTTTGCCTATTCCCATATACTGGATATAAGCAATCATATTTTTTCTTGAGCTGTACATTCTGAAGATTTTATTCATAGAATTTCACCTTTTTTCCTCTCTCTCTCTTCTCCCTCTCTTATGTGTGTGTGTTATCGGTCACTTTCTGCCCTTGCATAGGATTCCATTTCCTTTTGCTGCTGTTGGGCTTTTCAGTAGACCCAGATTTAGCCTGAACCCACTTCCAGTTAAAGACCACTGATTTCATTAGATTTTTAGGGTTAACCCTGAATAGCACACACTTTCCCTCACAGAGTTTCCTCATTCTTATTGCCTTGTGGTTTGTACACAGCTAAAATAATCTTGATTGATCAGTGACCTTCACAAAATGAGATGTGCAAAATCCACCTAAGCGCTAACCTAAAATGCAGCCGTATTTAGCTGGTGGAAGAGAGAGGTTGGAGTTAATATGCTTGCTCTATCAGTGTATCAAAGAGTAATTGTGTTTTCCTTATCTTTTGGCAGAATCCTTTCCAGTCTTTAATAAACTGAACAGCAGGGTGCTAATAAAAGAAATCACTTCTATCAAGCAAGTTTTTGTTGCACTTTTTTAAAGTACTTTTTTAGAACTCCAATGTCCCATCTGGCTGTGGGATTGAGTTATACAAATTTATTAACATCAGGTTAGAGCCAGCAGTGTCCTATGAATCACAGAAAGAGTCTTTCCATTCACACAAGTGACTTTAATCCCATGGATGTTCCCACTAATGGAAAACATTTTTGTTTAACCAGTCCTTTCCTCCCTATAGCCCCCCCCCCCCATATCATCCCTTATACCAGGGGTCTGCAACCTTTAAGACAAAAAGAGCCACTTGGACCCATTTCCGAAGAAAAAAAAAACTGGGAGCCGCAAAACCATTGCGACATTTAAAACAAATATATCTCCGGAGCCGCGATCTGACAGCGGGCGGGAAGGTGACGTCGGGACGGTGCGTGACTAACGCACGCACCGCCCCCATGTGACGTCACAGCAAGTACAGCGCCCGCCACAGTGGGGAGTGTCGGGACGCACGATGCGCCTCCTCCCCTCGCTAGTATCCGCCCCGGAGCCGCAGCAAAGGTGTAAAAGAGCCACATGTGGCTCCGGAGCCGCAGGTTGCAGACCCCTGCCTTATACCAATCTGTATGGTCACCTAGCCCTCTGGAAATGGCCTAGAGTCGAGAGGGAAAGCAGTAAAAAAAAAAAAAAAGGCACCTCCCATTAGTTAGTGCTGGAACTGGGACAACCTTTTCATGAACATAGCCCATGAATATGTTAGGATATTTTGATCCAACCCATTATCATTATACATAGAAAGCAGAATTTTAACTGGAATGCCATTGCGTCACAGAAGCCGACAAGATCTAGTTATTTGATTATTTTTTTGAGCTTCATTACTGAAGATGGCAAACAAAGCCATTAGGAATCCCTTGTCTACTTTGCTTTGTTGCTGAATATGATATTAATTAATAGATGATCTTCTTACAAATACCAAAGACTTGAATATTTCAGGCAAGCATATCCTATTTATATTCACTTAAATCTGCATTAGCAATGCTGTAATAGGATTTATATTTGCTCATCAAGGGAATTATGAAGCCTTTTGTTTATAGATAGGTATGATGTTTTTTCCAGGTGCCAGTCACAGAACTGCGCTGCTTTTCCTGCCCTCAGTGATGGGTGGTAAGGGTGCCTTTTGCACCTACCCCCTAGTTCATGGTTCATGAACCCTTAAGGGCTGGTAAAGATGCTTAGTCTGCAAAGCTTGGCTCTGTGGCCTCTCATGCAAGCTGTTTGACAACTTTAAGGGAAGGTTCTAATGCAAGAGGATGGGAAACCTATGGCAGTCCAGATGTTGACTGCAGATGTTATCACTTCTGACCACTGGCCATATTGGTTGGGGCTCATGGGAGTTGAAATCCAGCAATATCTGGAAGGCCACAAATTCCCCATTCTTGTGGATTTACCTATCCACAAAACTCACATTTTTTTAATATTGTAAACCACCTTGTGATCCTCAAATGAAGTGTGGCATAAAAAATTAACAAATAATAAAAAATGATAATAATTATACACACAGCTACACAGAGTAGCTTTTAACTGTTCTGCATAAAGATAACCACAGTGAAGATAACTTGAGTGACATGACAAAAAGAATTAATATTGACATAGTGTATTCCAAGTGTTCAGAGTATTTCACAAACATTAACTCAGTAATTTTTGAAGAGTCACGTGAAGCACGGCAAAATTAGCCATATACTGCAGACGGGACACAAAAACTGAATTCGAGAGATAAAGAGATCTCCATGGCCATCTAAGTGATTTCATGGCTAAGATGACATTTGACATGTGGAAGTCCTAGCTTACTACTCATAGGATTACAGTTTGGGATGCTTTCAGTCTGGATATAGATAGGGGTGCTGGACTTGGGTGGATACCTGTCATGAGCTATCTACACAACGAGCCATCCAATAGATGGAACAATCACTATAAACAGAGCACCTTCACTTTTAAAGTTGTTGATACTGACTTCTGTGTGCAGCACTATTTTAATGTTAGATGCATGGGAAAATTTGCAACAGTACATAAAAAAGTGTGAGTGATTGTGATCAGATGCATGTATGCAAATTTATCATCTTATATGGTTAGGATAAATGAGGCATAAAAATCATGCATTAAACTGGTGGGATGAGATACAAATGAGATTTTTTAAAAATATAAAAAAAGTATTCCAAAGCTGAACTAATGGAAGGGGGCTTTTGGAGCACCATTTTGGTCCTTCTTCAACTCTTGTAGTTGTAGTGAAGAACAGAAAGATCCAGGGGTATTATATTATATAATCCAGAATACTTCACGTTATTGGATAGATGACTCTCTTGTCACTGGCGGAGGAAGAGGAGTGCACCGCCCCCAGCAGCGCGATCCCGGCAGGGTTACATTGCAGCTCCCCCCCCCCCCCGTGCTGGGCGCCCTACCCCCAGGACACATGCCCCTCCCCTCCAGGCAGCATGCCCCGCCCCCAGGATGTGCGCCAGCCCTGCCCCCGCCTGCTCTCCACCCCCTCGGAGCATGAAGCTCCACCACTGTCCCTTGTTTTTGACTAATAGCTAGTTTGCTTCCCTTTTAGCTGTTCATGTTTAGACCTGGATTTGACCAAAATCATACCGAGAGCTTTCTTACCTTTAGTTATTAGAATCTCTCAATTCATTTCCAGGATAACTTCTTTTTCTGGATTTCTACTTTCCCTGGAATGAAGTTATATGTTTTCTATGACCTTGTGTTTATCTTTATTAAAATGCCTGTTCACATAACAAACCAGATAGTTAGATTAAATAACCAGCACACATCATCTTTTTCCACTCTGTCAATCTCTGGCTCGTCCACAAATCTTTTTGGAAGTAATTTTTGTATCTTCTTCCAGATCACTGATAACTGCTATTTACTCTAGAGGGGGGATTTTGCTATAGTTCTATAAACCTCCGTCCTAGGTTCTCTGATAACCTCTAAGCTTCAGCGCTCTGGAGGCAACTAGGAATTGGTTGATAGACAGATAGTATCAGATTCGCATGACAGCAGGGTACAGATATGTTTATCACTGGGGAGAAATGTCTTGCTGATTATTATACAAAATGGCAAGCTTCTCATGGTTACAAGGGAAAATTAAGTTTAAACTTTTGTTTAAAACTAACATTGATATTTTGGTTTTGTCCGTACAAATCTGTAATCAGGGGCACAGCATTAGTCTAGCAAGTTATATTTGTCAAGGGGAAATACTCTCATAAGTTCATTTCTCACATGTATTAGGATGATGAGCAAGATGGTAAAGCCATGTCTTGTCTGGACCACTTCAGACTTCAGATGGGTGCTGGTTCCATGTTTTCTTTTTCAATTTGTGAGAATATTTTTGTATAAAGGAGCATTAAATCATGGGAGCTGTCACCTGCAATCTGAAGTCTAAGCACATGCTTACCACATCATATCCTGAGTGTGGAAAAATTGGTCCTGGTTAAGTAAAAATGAAGAATTTCATGGATATTGTATGCTATCAGTGTGCTCTGCTGAGTTTTACACTTTCATTTCCTATACGTGTGCTCTACCTTTGACATATTTGTTCTTGATATCTGCTCATATTAAAGTTAAATGCACAAGCACTGGCTATACCTTACAATTATCATCATGTCATGTGACTAGAACTCTCCACGCCCTTACCTGGAGACAGAGGTGCCATCTTTTCAAGTTGATTGAAGAGGCCTGATGCGATGTCCTGATGTCACACATGGGTGATGTTGCAAGGGGCCAGAGGATGGAGCCGAATCCCCTCTGAACATTATGGGGGGGTGCCCTAAAAAAGGGGAAACGAAACTGCTTCAGCCCCTAGGAGCTGGTGTGTATGCCTGGAGGTCCCTCTTAGATCAATTAGGGTTAAGGTATAGTTCAGGGGCATTAAGGTAAAGGTAAAGGGACCCCTGACCATTTGGTCCAGTCGTGGCCGACTCTGGGGTTGCGGCGCTCATCTTGCTTTATTGGCTGAGGGAGCCGGCGTACAGCTTCCGGGTCATGTGGCCAGCATGACTAAGCCACTTCTGGCAAACCAGAGCAGCGCATTTCCCGGAGCGGTACCTATTTATCTACTTGCACTTTTGACGTGCTTTCAACCTGCTAGGTTGGCAGGAGCTGGGACCCAGCAACAGGAGCTCACCCTGTCGTGGGGATTCGAACCGCTGACCTTCTGATCAGCAAGTCCTCGGATCTGTGGTTTAACCCACAGCACCACCCATTACTAGGTTCTTAAAAACATATGGGACACAGGCCCCTGACAAAATGTGCATGAAATTTCTATATGCCTTGGTTTAAAATTTTGGCCAACTTTCAAAAGAAAAACACCCTGTAAGAAAGTATTCTTTTAAAAAAAGTTTTAAAAAATGAGAGAAGGCAGGAGATCTGTTGAAGATGCAAAAGCCCCAGGTTCCACCTCTGTCCTCTCTAACAACACCCTCGGTGTAGCTGTTACTGCCAGCTCACAGGATTTGACTCCAAATTGTCCCTAAGTGGTGTTGTGCACCCAAGAACGTGTGACATTCACAGCACACTGACTCTTAAAAGGGAAAGCATATCTATCCAAAAACACTCAGAGGAAGAGGGATGAATTCATAACTCTTTCGAGTTGCTCACAGATATGTGAAGAAAGTTCCATGAAGTAAAAAAAAGTAAAAGAAAAAGGCAAAAAAAGGAAGTTAATTAGTTAATCTATCCCTGTCTGTATTGTGAAGACAGCCTTTAGCACTGCAATTATCTCATGCATAAAAATCTTGCAGTCAGATAATTACACACTTATTCAACCTTGGTACAATGCGTAAGCATATCACAACTAAATTATAGAAATAGATTAAATGTGAGATGCAAAAATGTTAAAGAAATTATCTAGGTGTTGCTTGGACCATTATTTTATACATCCCAAAAAGCAATAAGCAGTTAGCATCCCAAATACGAAATGTGTCTTCAACATTTGTTATGGTTGTCATTCCACTCACTCGGCCTACCTGTTATAGAGCCCTTGTCTTCTCTACTCCATGCATTTACAAATGCATGCAAAACTTGGCAGCATGTAGGCTGCAAATAAGCACATTTATTAAGGTGTGAGCTAGACAGCCCATCCCTTTGCTATGAATGCAAGTGTGCCCCCATGAGAAAAATGCCCTAAAGACTCCAATGTACTTTCAGCCCCTGAACACCACTAATCATTTCAAAGTGTGCATTGCTATTGGCAGTTATTCAGAGAACCCAGTAAGACCTTTTATGGAGAAAGACAAAATGCTATGCTAAACTCCACCTAAATTTCTCCTTTAAGTTTGTGTAAAGTTATGTGTTCTTTACAAATTAGGTTGCTTGTTAGGGGTTTAGTGGTTGAGGGACTAATTATAAACTAATCGCATGGGTAGTTATCTAGCATTTTGAAGCAATTCTTCTTAAAAGAAGCAAAGGAAGTTTTTAAAAAAGAACCCTTGCTATATAAACATATTACATGAAGTGGGAAAATATTAGCCAGACAAAACCGGAAAATTTATATGCATTGTTAACTGTAAGCTGAACAGGCTACAAAGGAAATGCAGATACACTGTATAAGATACGTATGCATTAGCCCTAGAAATAGCTCAAAGCACCAGTACCTGATAGCTAAATCCAGCATCATTTCAGAGTATCACTCATGTGATGAAAGGAAAATGTATGAGGATTTACTACTAGATGAATGGGGCTCAGACAGAGCTGCAAACTGTTTTGAAGTAATTAAAGAAATGCAATCCTAATATTTCTTGTACAATGTCCTTCATATGAGGCGAAATCAGAGAGAAAAAGAAAATAGTTTTGTCAAAGGAGCATAATGGGAGTTGGAGAGAGAATGGGCATATTCTTGCCTATTACATTACATGAAGATATCGCAACAGAAATAATCCTTACCCTATATTTGTTGTTCTTTAGTCTGTGTGCTTTCATTCATGGTCATGTTATGTGTATCTACTCAATAATCATCAACAACATCAGTCAAACTACTGCAATGGCCAAATTTGACTCAATATTTTCCCAGCTGAAAACCATTTTAAGACATGATTGCTGTGTGCTTAACCAATACAAAGCAGTTGTGGGGCCACACCTTTGGCCCTATAGCTTCTCCTGGGTCCATCAGTTAACATGAATGTCTGAGCTCTGGAAGATTTTGACATGGACCTCTCTGCAGATACACCTTGGTACCTCAGGTTACATACACTTCAGGTTACATACGCTTCAGGTTACAGTCTCCGCTAACCCAGAAACAGTGCTTCAGGTTAAGAACTTTGTTTCAGGATGAGAACAGAAATCGAGCTCTGGCAGCGTGGCAACAGCAGGAGGCCCCATTAGCTAAAGTGGTGCTTCAGGTTAAGAACAGTTTCAGGTTAAGAACGGACCTCCGGAACGAATTAAGTACTTAACCTGAGGTACCACTGTATATCCTTTCCAAGGTCCTAAAACACTGCATAACCTGGTTGCATATGCAAGAAGAGCAAAGGGGTATCTACTTTAATTTCTGCTTAGCTTCTGTTTTAACAACACATTTTTATGAAATAACACATTCTATTTGCAAAATCCTCTTTTATAGCATTCCTGCAAATAGCTATCCTGAGTGTATTTCTTCCTCATTAAAGAGGCCTGGTCTCTGAATCTGCTACAGATAAATTTCTATTTTGTGTTTGATACCTTATTTTTATCCAATTTCTCTTCTCACCTGTAATTTTCATATTCATGTCACCCTTAGGTGACTACATAGCAAAACTATCCTCTTTTTCAATTAGTCACAGTTCAGCAAGCTGATACTTCACTGCCTATACGCCTATATGTGACCTTTATCGAACAGGTAAGGATTTTCCCCTCTGCTAAAGTAAATTACAGGACTGAATATATTCTCAAAACCCCTCACTCCACTTCAGATATTTTCAGATGAGGCTTTTGGCCTTTCCAAAGTTCCTTTAGCTGTAATTTTTTAAAAGTGATTGCTCTAATTTCTTTAGTCTCTCACTTATTTTCTGTTCATTATTTCCACAAATTATTTTGTGTTACGGACCAAACAAAAGGTGTTTTCTCGTTCAATATCAGACCAAGGCGGCTAAAAATAAATATGTAAGTTTACCACTAGGTTTACCACAATAATGAACATAAATTAAGGGGAGAGGGAATAATCCTAAAGGTCAGTAACCATATTGATGGGCTGTGCTTTTTAGAACAACATGAAACAAATAGGGGCCTGTTAAAACAGAAATCATATGCTGAGACATTTTGTGTACCATCTGCTATTAATTGTTCCAATAAGAGTTAATTTTGTTCTAAAGCTCCAAAGCCTGCTACTGATTAGTACTACTAAGCTTCGTTTATATGTACCTCAAGCAGTGCTTTTGCTGGAGTCTCCACAGTTGTCCCCACCACATGCTATACAAATTCTTCTCCCTCCCTGGAGGTGTTTCTGATGCCATGGCTGGCAAACCACCAGAGATGCATTGCCCAGGGAACTAGATATCACTTCCTTGCTTGCCAAATGGCATCAAAGGCGCCCATGGAGATGGAAGACTTTAGACATACTGGGATTACAATCCATCAATTAAAACAGGTAAGCATCTTGACATTAATGGACTAGTACAAGTCAATGCCTCGTGGATTGCAGCCAAGATCTGTTTCAGGTTATGCATCACTATGATTGCCCCAGGCACTATACATTAAAGCATTCTGAATTGACATTTGAATGCACAGGTGCAAATAGAGAATAAGATTTCTCCTCTGTAGGTTTTATTTGCTATCTTGATAACTGAAATCTTTCTACCTGGCCCATCTTTTCCAACTGGCCCAGGGGGCGTGGCCCAGGCCCTTATTTGGAACAAACTTTTGGGGAAGCTGGGAAGTGTTCTGCAATTGCTTCCCTGTTCCAATGTGTTTTAAAATGTCCTCAAGCAGTCGGTGGCAATTTAAATTTGTATTTCTTTTTTTCCCTTTTTTCCCTTGTTGGGGGTGGGTGGGTGGGATGGATATTTGGTTGGGGATTAATTTTAGTATAATTGTTCTGTTTTTGTTTTTCTGTTCTTTTATTGGTTCTGTATAGTTTGTGTTTTGTTTTTAAGGGGTGGGATCAGGGCTGCCTGGGAGTGGGGCCCCAGCCAACACGATGGCTGGGACAAGTTCCACAGGGGGGGAAGCACTGGGACATCCGATCTCGGTGATCATGGGCAGGAGGTGGAGTTACGCCAAGACCAGACCATGTCATTACCGAGGAGGCAGGTTTAGTCGTTGTTTGAAGACTATCCCTGCCTCCGGGTCTGGCCTTGACCGGATGGATACTGGAATCAACAGGGGAAACCCACATAACCTGAAGGTGTTGCTGTGTAATGCCAGGTCAATGATGAATAAAACCACTGCCATCCACGACCTGATTGTGGATGGAGGATTTGACCTGGCATGTGTGACAGAGTCCTGGTTGGATGAAGCGGATGGGCCTGTCCTTGCTGCCGCTTGCCCGCCAGGTTTCTCTTACGCACAGCAACCCAGGTCATGTGGGCGGGGGGGGGGTTGCAGTGATTTTTAGGAAGTCATTAGTTTGCATCAGGCGTCCTACTGGGAAGACCCAGTTTTCTGAGTGCATGTTCTGGAAGTTGGGCAATAGGGGCAGTACAGGATTCCTTTTGGTGTACCGACCTCCCCGCTGCACCAAGGATTCCCTGTCCGAGCTGCTTCAGGTCGTGGCGGATGTTCTCCTGGAGACACCTAGTTTGGTTGTCCTAGGGGATTTTAACATCCATGCCGACACGACCTTACAAGGGGCCGCTCGGGACTTCGTGGAAAGCATGGCCTCCATGGGGCTGTCCCTGAATAAGTTGGGCCCAACTCATAGTCATGGACATGCCTTAGATCTGGTATTCACCTCTAGTGACGTGGGTGATCTGACACTAAGTAAAAGTGAAACTAAAGAAGTGCCATGGTCAGATCACTTCCTGGTGCAACTGGACTTCTCCGCGACCCTTCCCCTCTGCAGGGAGGTGGGACCAATTCGGATGGTCCGCCCCCGCCACTTAATGGATCCAAATGGTTTCCAGAGAGTGGTAGGGGATGCTTTATCCCATGTTGATGGCCTTTCAGCTGATTCCCTGGTGGCCCGCTGGAATGTGGAGTTAACCAGGGCTATCGACTGTCTGGCTCCGAAGCGCCCTCTCCGATTGCATGGAGCCCGGACAGCCCCGTGGTTTTCTTCGGAGCTGAGGGCGATGAAACAATCGCTGAGACGGCTAGAGCGTCGGTGGCAGAAAACTCACTCCGAATCTGACCGGACACAGGTTAGAGCTCAACGTCGAGCCTACCAAGTGGCGATAGCGACGGTGAAGAAGACTTTCTTCACCGCCTCTATTGCATCTGCAGAAAATAGTAGCAGGAGACTCTTTCAGGTGGTCCGCAATTTAACGGAATCACCTTTAACACCGGGGCCTTGTAAAGACCCCAAGATCTCCTGCAACGATTTTGCAAAGTTTTTTGCAGATAAAATCACTCATATTCGGAAGGAGCTAGACACCACCGTGGGAGCAGGGCTGGGGCGGGAGAGTGCTAGAGCTCTGTCTGGTCAAGTTGCATGGAACCAATTTCAATCCGTTACCCCCGAGGATGTGGACAGGCTGCTTGGACGCGTGAAACCAACCACCTGTCTCTTTGATCCTTGCCCATCCTGGCTAATAAAAGCAAGCCGGGAAGGGCTGGGCGATGGGCTCTGCGGGGTGGTGAATGCTTCCCTCTGTGAGGGAACATTCCCAGATCCGCTGAAAGAGGCGGTCATTAAACCGCTTCTTAAAAAACCATCTTTAGACCCGGACAGTATGGCCAACTATCGCCCAGTCTCAAATCTTCCATTCTTGGGCAAGGTGATTGAGCGTGTGGTTGCTGAACAACTCCAGGCACGCCTGGAGGATGCGGACCATTTGGATCCCTTCCAATCGGGGTTCAGGCCTCATCATGGGACTGAAACTGCCTTGGTCGCACTGGTTGATGATCTCCGGCGAGCTAGGGACAAAGGTGAGAGCTGTTTCCTAGTTCTGCTGGATCTCTCAGCAGCCTTTGATACAATCGACCATAACATCCTTCTGGACCGTCTAGAGGGGTTGGGAGCTGGGGGCACTGTTATACAGTGGTTCCGCTCCTTCCTCCTGGGCCGTGTTCAGAAAGTGGTGGTGGGGGATGAGTGTTCAGACCCTTGGGCCCTCACTTGTGGGGTACCTCAGGGTTCCGTCCTCTCCCCCATGCTTTTTAACATCTATATGAAGCCGCTGGGAGAGATCATCAGGGGGTTTGGACTGGGTGTCCATCAATATGCAGATGATACCCAGCTCTACCTCTCTTTCAAATCAGAGCCAGTGAAGGCGGTGAAGGTCCTGTGTGAGTGCCTGGAGGCGGTTGGAGGATGGATGGCGGCTAATGGGTTGAAGTTGAATCCTGACAAGACAGAAGTACTGTTTTTGGGGGACAGGGGGCGGGCTGGTGTGGGGGACTCCCTGGTCCTGAATGGGGTAACTGTGCTCCTGAAGGACCAGGTGCGTAGCCTGGGAGTCATTTTGGACTCACAGCTGTCCATGGAGGCGCAGGTCAATTCTGTATCCAGGGCAGCTGTCTACCAACTCCACCTGGTACGCAGGCTGAGACCCTACCTGCCCGCGGACTGTCTCGCCAGAGTGGTGCATGCTCTAGTTATCTCCCGCTTGGACTACTGCAATGTGCTCTACATGGGGCTACCTTTGAAGGTGACTCGGAAACTACAGCTAATCCAGAATGCGGCAGCTAGACTGGTGACTGGGGGCGGCCGCCGAGACCACATAACACCGGTCTTGAAAGACCTACATTGGCTCCCAGTACGTTTCCGAGCACAATTCAAAGTGCTGGTGTTGACCTTTAAAGCCCTAAATGGCCTCGGCCCAGTATACCTGAAGGAGCGTCTCCACCCCCATCGTTCTGCCC